AATTACCTTACATTTTACTCTTGAGTGGTTATGCAAAGTATAAGTATGTGTATATAATATATTAGATATATAGATAATTACTTAATTGGTTAATTTGGTTTGATCGGTTAGGAGTGTCTGAAACCAAACCAAATCACCCAAACCAAACAAGCTAACAAACTTAACTTAACCAAACCAGTTATTCAAATTAACCAAACTAAATTATCCAAATACTACCGGTTAAAACGGTTACCACGGTAACCACACCGTTTGAACACCTCCACTGCTACTTTGTCACTATTTCTTTTGCTTCCACATTTAAGGGGAATGCTCCTCTTTGGAAAGAGGATATAAAGAAGAATATGGGTGTGCAACGGTTCATTCTGGTTCGGACCGGACCAAACAAATGAGAATTACGGTTTATTAGTGAAAAACATTTTAGCACCAAAGACTTGACCATTTTTGCATTCGATCCTTTTGATCCGGCTTAGTCAAGTCTAAATATCAGTTTGGTCATCATTTATTTAGTAATTATAAAATTTATGACGACCAAAGGTCATATTATACTCAGTCTGGTCTTAACATCTATTTGACCCGGTGCCATTCAATATGGACCGGACCATTGCACACCCAAAAGAAGAAGTCTCCATCATGAATAACCCTCATTCTTTCCCTATATATGTCAATAGTCTGGGACAGAGAGACAGAGGGTTGCCATCTTTTTGCCTCTGATCAGAGTCACCAGAGCCAACCAGTGACTAAAGCCACCATTTGTGCGTTCCCAAAGCCACATCTCATCCGAAAATCAAATTGGATTTTAGATAGGAGTGGGGAGCCTTTTATAAAAAAAAAAATAGCTGGCCTATTTAGCCAAAAATTTCAAAATCCCGCCAGGCCAACACGTTCCATTCGATTTTTCCAGTAACGCAACCAATTATCCCTCTTAACTCTAATTTTTGGCGGCCAAATCCGATTTCAAGATTGTTTTTTCTTTCCTTAAGATAAACACAGATCCTTCTAATTAATATAATATCGTTTCCCCTGTTATATCTAGTTTTCACATCTCTGCTTTCCTTCCACTGCTTCAATAGATATCCGCCGCGTTCGGTGAGTTTTCCATGCCTCCATCTGGTTGTTTCAATTCACGTTCTTTTTGGGCGATTCACCTCCATGTTCTTGCTCTGTTTCCTGTTAATCTTCTTTTCCCCTGTTTTCGATACACCTATTATGTATTGGGAGTCAAGTCATTTTCATCTAAAAACATACGCTTTCCGAGCGGCGTCTCTAGTTCTCATTTTGATATGTGTTCCGTGTTTTAGTAGGGTACACTACACCGCAAACAACTGATCCTTCCCTAGTCTCTTCCTCCATTGCAAGCTTTTGTTTCTTTCTTTGTGCTCCTTTTAATTGCCTTTTGAATACTGCCATTATGTTGTTCATTGCTGACTCTTTTATTTCTCTTATACTAACCGTGATGTTTTTTTTTCCAGCAATGGTTCGTGCAAGTAATAAAAGAGTGAATTGGAGATAGCGAGATTGATCACACTTCACATGTTCCAGAAACTATAATGACTTCCATTATTCTATTTAAGCGACACATGGTTGTCCGTAGAATTTATGTATATAACATTTCAGCGTCCCTGATGATACCACTAAAGGGACAACAAGTTGTCACAAAAGTTACATGGATGTCAATCAGTCGTCCCTATAAGTTATAAGGTTACAAATTGAAGCCTCTGAAGACACTGCTTAAGGGATGATTGGTTGTCCCTACCAGTTAAATAGATGACAGTTAGGTGTCATCGAAAATATAGTGTAAGAGACAATTGATCGTCCCCACAAGTGATAAATGGGACAATTACTCGTTCCTCAAAGCGCATAAGTGACTACTCATTGTCCCCTAAAACACAAGTTAAGGGACAATTTTTTGTCCCCAAAAGTCATAAGTGACAACTTGTCGTCTCTAAAGATATAGTATAAGAGACCACTCTTAGTCCTTGAAGAAAGCTTTCGGTGACGATTTTTGGACTCCAAGTTAATTCCAATAGGAACGACATGTCGTCCATATAAAAAGAAAAGGGGACGATATATTATCCCCAGATAGACGCAACATGATAATGAAATATATTATGTGGGACAACAACTTGTCCCTGAAAATGATATTTAGGGGACGACTTATTGTCATTACAATTATAGCTATAGGGACGACAAATTGTCTTCCATGGAAAAGAACGGGACGACAACTTGCGAGTATCGGGGACGACTGTCGTCCCTAGTAATGGGGACGACCTAGATTTTTGTCGTCCCCAAAAGAATAGAGGACAAGAGTATAGGGAACCACACATTGGAGACGGCTAGGTCGTCCCCAAAAACTTTAGAGACGATTTTTCCTATTTCCGGGGACGAGTTTTGTCGTCCCCAAACCTCATCTTTTTTGTAGTGAAACCCGTAACCGAAAATCACTAAAACCGAACCCGAACCCGATAAGGACTTGCGGGTTTCGGTCACCCGAAACCCAAAATTTCCTTATCGGGTTCGGGTTCGGTTAAAGCAAAACCGAAACCCAAAAACCCGAACGCCTAAGAATACGGGATGAGTTCTATTCATTGGAGGTTTTTAGCCGGAACCCGAAAAACCGATAAGCAAAACCGAACCCGAAACCAAAAAACCCGAAATCCAAAATGAACTCGAACCCGAAAACCGAAAATGTATATAATCGGGTCGGTTTCGGGTAAACCCAAAAAACCGAACCCGAATGGACACCCCTAGGTAAAGGTAAAGGAGATAACTATAAGAGAAGGAAAGGATGGGCGGGCGGCCACTTCAAAATTTTTAACAGTTGAAAATTTGAGTTGGCGCGATAGAAATGCAGAAATTTGGTACTTTTAAGTTTTTTTGTAAATGACAAATTTGGTCACTGGGTTAACTAAAAAAGTTCAATGTTTAATCACCATAAATATTTAATTACATTCGTGATCATTGAAATTAGTTTAACAGCTCAAGTTTGGTCACTCTTTGTCCAACTCTATTATCTTTTGCTCATGTGGCAGTCAATTTTCAAAGTTGACCATTAAATTTATAATATGACAATTAAAAATTAATAAAAAAAATAAAATTTAATCATTCAAATTTTTCACATCATTTTCAAAACTATTAGAAAAACAATAAAAATCTATTTCAATATTGCCAAAATTTATTTTTTTGTAATACAATTTTCGTTTAAATTAATGTATATTGTCGCCCAAAAATGTTGAAATTTTCTTTTAGAGTGGTGTTTTGTTTTCTGGATGTATTTTTTGTTAATGTGTCTATTGATTGCAAATGTTGGTATCATCACCATTACTATTAGCTAATGTAGTTTACCGATTACGATTAATTACATGAAAAGTTTGCAAGTCGATTCAACATTTTGATTAGTTTTATTTAAATGTAAGTATATATACGAGGTAGAAAGAAACTGTTTAAAAATTGTGACAAATATTTTAAATTTGTGTAATAAAATGTGCAAGTTGGCAATGAGTAAATAAGTCGATGCGTTGACACGAATAACCCGCAACCCGCCCGGCCCAAAATTTGATGCACTCGCAACCCAATTTACCCACAACCTGATTGAACCTGAACCCGATAAACCCGCAACCCGCTTGAATCTGAACCCGATTGAACCCGAACTCAATTACCCGAACTCGATAAACTTGAAACTCGACTAACCCACAATCCAATTGAATCCAACCCGAACACGTCTGATTGACACCTCTAGTTGTTGTACACACTAGTTAGACACATGGCTTTCGTGGTTGTTCTTGTCATGGGCTTTTGTTGTGTTAGGTTTCAAGCCACTTTGGCATTGTCTTGGGCCTATTCGGATTAGGCCTTCATGTTCCCTATTCGATTTGTGTTGTTTTTCCGTTAGGGATGGTTATACGATCCGGTTAAATTGGACCAAATTGATCCGGTCCCGGTTCAGTTTTTTCGAAAATATAAGGACCAAAAATTGAATTGGATACACTCCGGTCTTGATCCGGTCCGGTATTGACCCGGTCCGGTCCCAATTTTATTTTGATTTTAGATTGAGCTTGTGGGAATTTGAGCGTTGGGGTCTTTTATCCGGTCTTTATCCGGGTTTTTTTACCTCAAATCTAAGCCTGAATATGATATTGAATTGTTTGCTATCCAATCCCAGTCCGGTCGCGGTCCGAGTTATACGATCCGGTTTCGAGTAAAACCAAACAGTTCTGGACCAAATTGCCAGCTATACTTTCCGTTACTATCTTCTGCTCTACACTACCCCCAACAAGCACGGTTTTAATGAGTTTAAAATATTCTTATAGTTTTGCAAGAAAAATATTATTTATAATTATATTTATTTGAAATTTTATGATAAGACACCCCTTGGTGGAATCATTTGGTACGCCACCGATTGCCACAATAATAATAAGTACTACTATTATAGACATAACAAGCACATGGGTCATTATGTGTTTTTTGCCAAAACGCCTCTCCATTATTATAGGATGGGAGCCCTCCTCCCCACAAATTCTACCATCTATTATTCTATTTTGAATACCCATATCTCCATATTTTTGGTAGAGCATAAATAAAATCTACCCACAAAATTAACCAATCTTTACTCTTACTATATATAGGATTCTCACATACATGAGCAAGATATCTAGATCATCAACATCATCATGCCTTGTAATTTCACAACATTACCACTAACACTATTCCTTTGGCTACTCATCATCACCGCAATCCCTACCACGGTCGTCGTCGAGAGCAGTCCAAACCTCGGCCTCACCTCGGCCTTCTGCGGGTCGCAGTTTGACGACAGCCCACTGACGAGGGAGAGAATCCGGGGAGTGGTGGAAACGGCGACGACCTCCGGCAGGCCATGGGTCCCGGCGTATTGTGGCGCATCTGATGTTCACGATGAACCCCATCTGTACGCCCGATCTTCTTGCTCCCGCACCATTTCGAGGGAGGACTGCACGGCTTGTCTCGAGGAAGCCGGGGCTCGACTGATGGATCGCTACTGCAAGGATCTGTATGGTGCGCAGGTCACTCTAGTGGACTGTTTCTTGAGGTATGAGACCTCCCGATTCTGCTAGCTATCCACTGAGAAGAATCAAATGAGGGATATATATATATATATGGGTGGATGATTGTTTCTTTGTTGACTTCTCGTCTTCATTTCTAGATATCTAATGTTTTTGTTTTTCTTATTGTACTTTTTGATGAAATTTGAGCGGTTATATCATTCCGCTTTAACTGATCAATTAGTTTCTCTTATCGCTTTGAAATGTTTGAACTTGCAAATCCTCTTACCAACCTCCACCACACCTCGTTGAAGATATTGTGGGAGTGGTGGTTCCCTCAATTTTTTTTTTTTCCTCCGTTGAATCAGATTCCTTTCATTACCCTGGCCAAATGGCAAATCTAGTACAACAATGCTTAAATCAAAACTCTAGAATAAAACATCAACCACTCACAATGTTTCTCAAAATATACGTCTATGTATTATAGTTGTATGTAGTGGCGGATACATGCATGTTTAGGGGTGTCCCGGGATACCCCTAAAATTTGAAAACACGGTTATTTAACCTCCGATAGTAGTTTGCGTATAAGCAAACAAATGTTTAAGTGGTAGTGGGACACCCTTGAAATTTGGAGAAATGATTATCCAACCTCCCGTAGTAGTTTGCGTATTGGTACAAATAATATTTAAGTAGTAGTCTATGTGATTTAAACTTGGGACACTGTCATTATTCGTAAACCTATTTACAATTACATTACAACTCATTTGTCATTGTGTTTTAGATACAAATAATAATAGTAAAATGTTATTTTTATCCTGGATTATTTTCAAAACTTAACGATTGAACCCAATTATTGGATACCCTTGTCTAATATGATATGTCGAGAGATATTTGTTGAGCAGTATAGACACCGAATGTATTTTAATATTTTACGAAACACGATATTTAACTTTTATTGGTCAGATATTTTCATATTTAATAATTATTTTAATTAATTTTAATATTTAATTAAATTTAATTTCTGAGAGAGAACACCCCTATGTAAAATTCTTGGATCCGCCAATGGTTGTATGCACCCTATATGAGCTAAATCTGCCGGTACAACCTCGTTTAAGCTTGTTAGGTATACCAATTTTCTCTTAGGGCACCTCCATCGGCTTTCATTTTCCACTTTCATTCTGACGTGGATATTGTGTTGCAATTGTAAATTCTATTTTCACTGATGTATGAAGTGCTTGCAACTATGCAAACTTTCATATAATGAAAGTCTGGATGCAATTCAACATGGCTGGCTAGTGGCGTTTTGTTCCTTTCTTTTTAAGTATGCTATTTTTTGGATTGCAATTGCAAGTCAATTGCATTGATATAGGTATAATAAAAGTAAAGTGAGTTGACTTGTAAAAATAATGTTGTGTAAAAAAAAAATCATAAATACAATTGCACCAATTAAGATGCTCTTAGTCATAGTACCTACTACGTACTGCGCACTAGGGATGACGATTTACCCACCCATGGGTAATTTTGCCCAAATCCAAGTAGACCCATTTATTATGGGTAGGGTTTGGGTGATGTGTGTATGGGTTTGGGGTTTGTATATGGGTTTGGGTTAGATATGGATATTATCTAAATGGGTATGGGTTGGATATGGATATCCATTTACTTGAGGGTGTTTTAACTACACATGCAAAAATTGGACCTATTTGTAAAACTTGAAAATTTTAGGTACCAAATTGTAAGACCAAAAAAATTTAGGTACCAAAACGTAATTTTCCATCGATATTTTGAGGACTTATATGCAAAAAAAATTAAATTTAGGTACTAAATATGCATATCTATTAAGTTTAGGTACCAAATTGTAATTTGTATTTGGACATGGGTACAAACCCAAATCCATTTGTTATAAACCCAACCCAACCCAAAGTAAATGGGTATGGGTACAAACCCATCAAACTTTACCCATATCCATATATTTGGATTTCATACCCAACCCAATCGGGTTGGATAGTAAAATACCCATGGGTATGGGCAAAATTGCCATCCCTACGTGCGCACATCACGCCGTGTTTCACCGTAAGTGTGTCGACATCTTTCTCTCCACACAAACGTAATCAGATCACAGACCACATTGGTTTTCCATTGGTGAATTTGTCTTGGAACATGATTTGCCTCCAATTCATGAATACAAAAAATAAAATAAAAAACATGAATTTGTTCGATAAAAAATTAAAACAAGTTAATGTCACTACCACGAGCTAATCTTGCCGACGTAATCTACAAGAATAAACTCGTCGTTTCTTTTTGTCGTTCTTTGCCTTTCTTTTAGTAACGCTTTCTTTTTGTCTTCTTCGTTTTTGGGTTTCGTCGACTGTGGCGAGAATTGGTGATACAATTAAGACGACGATTATATTCATCACGCATACATAATGTGTGCGCTCTACTCTTCTGCCCTGTTTCATTAGTAATATTTGGTCTAGTTGAGGATCTTTCTAAATAAAACAATGAGATTCTCGCCACAAGTATCGAATTAAATTACTAAATTAGCAATAGCTATGGTAATAGTACGGGTTTGCCTAAAATATTCTCAGTACTGTTTTCAAATATCCAAATACATACCTACCTGATCATACCCATGTGGGAAAGGTTTTGCAAATCCATCCCCGCACTCGTGGGTTTCGGGTACTCATGGGTAATACTCATCTCATACTTCCAACATTATAATTTCTAACTTTTTTTGTACAAATTTCAACATGACGTTACATACTATATCAAGAAGTTAAAAAAAAAGACAATCATTCTTACTACAATTCAAAGAATCTTATCCTTAAAATCCATTAATCTAAAAGATAGAGTACAATGTAATTCAAATCATTATTCTCTAACTCGGATACATCTACTAAGTAATAACTAACATAATCTTGTCAACACAAAGGAGAAAAGTGAAAGAGTAAAGAGAGAGTTGAGGAAAAGGAATTAGGTTTAATTTGGATGGCAACTCAATTGCATTTCTACTATTTATTTTCTTGAATTACTGTCACTATCATTGATAGGTTACAATTTGATTCATTTTTTTATATGTGAAGAAATGCTCTTGGTGGGGCGGGTATGAGTATGGGTATGGGACAGGGGAGACTGAAACCATATTCGCCACATACCCATCAAACTTTTCTTGACCTTTTCACAACTCACCAATATTTTATTTCAAGAGCTTCTCTTGGCTCCTTCTTTTTCATTCTTATTCACATTATTCGAAATTCAAACAATCCCCCACATGAATGGAGAATGTAAGTTTTGAAAACTACACAAAAATGGTGACTCTCAACTAAAAATTAGTTGCATTGAGATGTGTGGATTTCTCTTTCAACCTTCCATACTGAACGTATGTCTATTATACTCACTAATCAGTAGATCTAATATCTTTCATTAGAAACAATAATCGATGGGTTTGAATCATCAAAATAAGTCCAACATACTAAATGCAACATCTTGGAACTTAGGGTGTGGAATTTGGAGAATTATAAGTCAAAGTTCCCTCAATAAAAATTAGAGCATAGTACCATAATCGAAAATCTTGCTAATTCAATATCCATCTAGCATTTTCTTAATAAGAAAATACAATACTGCTAGATTTACCCTCGGTATAGCATTTTTTTGCCATATATATATGGTTATAGATATCATTAACCATTTTTCAATAGAGATTACAGTTCTTTACTTCCATGTATATATACATGGGGAAGGCATATGAATAACACAAGAGCCCATAATCTACTTAGACCCTCGTGATTAACTTCACAACTTTTATTTCTTCACACTTTGTCACACACATAAAAGAAAACCACAATCACAAGTACAAATGATAAGAAAAGGGACATAGCAATGACGTCCAGAATTATTCGAACGATCCAAATCCAACGATACCAAATCTCTTGATGTGTACCTCATCTTCGATCAAGGCATTCATCATGACGTGCATTCGTCCATTGCATAGGTCTCGTACCTCAGGGAGCAGCTGGCAACGTTGATCTGGGCGCCGTACAGATCGTTACATATGTTGTAATTCAGCAACTGGTCTTGGCAATAGGTAAGACAATACTTGCAATCCTCCTGAGAAAGCGAGTCCAAACACGTAGCCCGACCGTACATCTGGGGCGTGCCGTCGTCGTCGGCGGTAACGCTGCAAAATGGGGAATGTGAGCTCGTCTGTTCGATGTCGCCGCTTGTGAGCCTCGCGGCTTGACCTTTCCTGAAAGAGCTGGCGTCGTACTCTGAGCCGCAGAAACCCGAGATGAAAGTTAGGTCTGGTTCGCCTTCAACGTTTTCGAGTACTTCTGTGGTAATGATCAGTATGACTAGTAGGGGAAGGAAGAAGGGAATGAAGGAATTGGCCATGGTGATCGAGGTCTTGATCTTCAAATGGTGTTGTATGAAGTAGCTTGAGATTTGATGGTTTTGTATTGTGCTACTTCGTTCGTTGATGTTCAATTTATACTACAACTGTAAATAATAGAGTTTAGAGGGGGTTCGTCACAATTTATATTATCTTTTCTCTGTACACAACTGTAACATATCAAAGGCCAACTGTAATAGTTAGGGTTGGCTATACGGTCCGGTTCGGTTAAATTGGCTCAAATTGATTTGGTCCAGTCCGATTTTTTTGAAAATATAAGGACCAAAGATTGGATTCGATACAGTACGGTCTTGATCCGGTCCGGTCTTGACCCGATCTGGTCCCAATTCGGTCTTGATTTTATATTGACCTTGTGGGGATTTGAGTGGCCTAAGGCCTGAAAGGGTGAGGAGTTGGTTAAGTTTTGTTCTAAGTGCAAAGGTTTGTGACCGTTTATGCAAATTACCCTTAAGTTTCGGGTGTTGAGCTCTCTTATCCGGTCTTTATCCAGTTTTCGATCCGGTCCCGAACAGTTTTTTACCTCAAATCTAAGCCCAAAGATTGGATTGGATTGTTTACTATCCGGTTTCGGTCCGGTCTCGGTCCGGGTTATACGATCCGGTTTCGGGTAAAACCATAAATCCCGGACCAAATAGCCAACCCTAGTAATAGTCAAGGAAAATTG